AAAAAAAAGGGGGGGGGGGGGGGGGGGGCAGCTCCCCCCCCATTTGCAAACACAATGCTCACACGATGTTTTTCAGCTAGTTTCTTGGGCTTTGAAGCACGCTTGGTGCGGCTTAAAAGAAGCGTGGGGGGGTCACGCTCTGCACGGCTCAAAGAAAAGAGGCGGGGGGGTTTGGGGGGGCGCAGCCCCCCCCCCACTTGCAAACACAATGTTTTTTCAACTAGTTTCTTGGGCTTTGAAGCACGCTTGGTTAGGGTTTAGGGTTTAGGGTTTAGGGTTTAGGGTTTAGGGTTTAGGGTTTAGGGTTTAGGGTTTAGGGTTTAGGGTTTAGGGTTTAGGGTTTAGGGTTTAGGGTTTAGGGTTTAGGGTTTAGGGTTTAGGCGTTAGGGTTTAGGGTTTAGGGTTTAGGGTTTAGGGTTTAGGGTTTAGGGTTTAGGGTTTAGGGTTTAGGGTTTAGGGTTTAGGGTTTAGGGTTTAGGGTTTAGGGTTTAGGGTTTAGGGTTTAGGGTTTAGGGTTTAGGGTTTGTTTAGGGTTTAGGGTTTAAGGTTTAGGGTTTAGGGTTTAGGGTTCAGGGTTCAGGGTTCAGGGTTCAGGGTTCAGGGTTCAGGGTTCAGGGTTTAGGGTTTAGGGTTTAGGGTTTAGGGTTTAGGCTTCCTTCCTTCCTTCTTTCCTTCCTTCCCTCCTTCCTTCCTTTCTGCCTTCCTTCCTTTGGTCCAAATAACGCTTTCCTATGAAAATACAGAGGGAATTACGGCTTTTAGTACGAAAAACCACGAAAATGCATCAAATCCTTTAAAAAATATAGAGGGAATGGTGGTTTTCTTAGAAAATCGACAAAAAAAACCAAAAAATAGGCCCTCCCCTCAAAACGCTTGGAAACTTTACGGGAGTTTAGGGGCCTCGAGAAACTTAGAAACTTTAGGTGAGTTTAAGGGCCTCAGATTGCTCAGAGACGTTAAGGGAGTTTAGGGGCCTCAAGAAACCGAGAAACTTTAAGAGGGTTCAGGGGCGTGAAAACACTTCGAGACTTTAAGGGAGTTTAGGGGCCTCAAAACGCTTAGAGACTAGGGGCATCAGGGAACTTAGAAGCTTTACGTGAGTTTATGGGCCTCAAAACACCTATTAGAGACTTCAAGGACGTTTAGGGGCCTCAAAACGCCTAGAGACTTCAATGAAGTTTAGGAGCTTCAAGAAACTTAGCAACTTTAAGTTAGTTAAGGGGCCTCAGATTGCTTCCTTCCTTCCTTCCTTCCTTCCTTCCTTCCTGCCCTCCCTCCTTCCTTCCTTCCTTCCTTCTTGCCCTCCCTCCTTCCTTCCTTCCTTCCTTCCTGCCTTCCGTCCCTCCCTTCCTCCTCCCTTCCCTCTTGTCCTCCTATCTGAAAAAGGAAAGTTTTTTTTGATTGGAGAAAAGTTTTTTTTTGATTGGAAAAAAGTTTTTTCTTGATTGGAAAAAAGTTTTTTTTTGATTGGCATCCCAACATCTTGCTCCTGCCCCGCCCGCAGGAGCTTCCCGAAGTAGCTCTGAAGTCCCACCCCCCAGGCAAAGGCAGCAAGTGACTTGAGGTCAGACTGAACCCTAAACCCTAAACCCTAAACCCTAAACCCTAAGCCCTAAACCCTCCAAATCTCATAGGGGCCAACCTACATAGCTGGGGCAGCTAGGAGTTCAAAGCTAAAAATTCGGACGGGAGATGGAAGCTCCGGATTCTTAGAAGGCGGTGCTTCCGGCCCTCTGGAGATGGAAAAGCTCCACCCATCTACGAGTGGGAGCAATCAAAGATGCCGCGCCTACGGGACATCTTTTCATCTTTCTTGACTGTTATTCTTTGGGTTTAGGGTTTAGGGTTTGGGGTTTAGGGTTGAGGGTTTAGGGTATTAGGGTTTGGGGGGGGGGGGGGGGGGGGCCTGAACCGTATCAGGCTCTGCGGCGTGGCCACGGGGGAGTGCGTGGGTGCGGTGGTTGCATGAAGGTTGTGAGATTTGACCGGCCTTTGGCCCGCGGCCACACCATTGGTGAGGCTTTAAAGGCATTGGGGGATCGGGTTTCATCAAGGGCGCCCTTCGGGCCACGATCAGTTTGGGTCGAGCCATAAACCTCTTGTGCGAAAGACTTGACACGAAAATACAGCGCTAACACCACGCGTCTTCCGATGTGGCCATCACATTATCAGTCTATTGAACGAAGTGCCGACCACGCCGTTGCTCGTTTTTCAAGGTGCAGCTCCGTGCGTATCTTCCTGCTCGGAGGGTGCTACAACCAGTCTCCGAGACGCGAGAACGTTGTGCCAAGCTGCTGTCCCTCCGACTGACGCCTGTCCACCAATGGTAGAAGACGATGAGGGAAGAGTTGTATGAAGAACTCAAATAGGGCTGGGTTGTTCTACGTAAGGGCCCCCTCTTGATCAAGTACCACTCATAACAACAACACGAATGCCACTCTAACCCGAAACCCTACAGAAAGCCTCAACCCTGAACCCTAAACCCTAAACCCTAATCAGGGGCCCACATTGTTCAACAACCCCAAACGAGTCAAGGCAGTGACCTCCCAAATTAGCTTGTTGCTGGGGAAGGGCCACATGCCAGCAGAAACCCTTCAGGGCTTGGAGTGTTTGGTTTAGGGTTTATGGTTTAGGGTTTGGGGTTGAATTAGGGCTTACGGTTTAGGGTTTGTAAGAGTATGTAGGCTCATGAATGTTCTTTGGGCTTGGGGAAGGTGGCGGGCTCCTTCAAACGGAAAGCGTATGCTGCGAAAGCCATGCGCAACGCACATGTCGGCAGCGAGCGGATGGAGCTCTGCGGGTCGTGAGCCTCATTGCACTGGGCACAGAGGCTGATCGGCACGGCAGGTTCGGTCGCAGCTGCGGCAGAACGGATCATGCTCGTCCCCATCGATGCTCGGAGGGATGATGACCTGCTGGCCGAGGAGGGGCAGGGAGCGCTTGCCCATGTGCTTGTCTGACAGATGCGTTGGTAGCAAGCTGTCGAGCAACTCTGTTACGGACTCAAGCACCTCCTCCCCCTCCAGCTGCCAGGACCACTTGGAGGAGGGGATGAACTCGAGCTTCGATCCGGGCATGAGGTGGTTCAGCCGCTGCATGGATTCCCCGACGACGACCAGCGGCGCCTGGTCGCTGCAGGCCAGCACCACCGGCAAGGAATCCATCTGCCACTCGCTCTGCGAACTCAAGATTGGGGTCAGGTGGTTGAAGTTCCACGATGGCTGCAGCGCCGACAGCTTCCAGAACTTCTCCGACGCTGAAGACACCGCGGCCGCATAGGCCTGCTTGGTGGCTTCCACCCCGTCGGCGCCACCCGTCGGGTACATGAAGTCTGGGAGCACCTTGAAGGATGAAATGTATCCTAAGATTGGGACTACATAGCCCTATACTACTGTAATCCCTGCTAGGGTATCACCCTAAACCCTAAACCCTAAACCCTAAACCCTAAAACCCTCCTAGGGTTCATGTGGCCCTTAAAAAGGCACTCCCATGATGCTGTCCATGTCCTTGTTCTCAAAAAACTCTCCCAACTTGGCCATCCTTGGAGATCACAAGCAATTGAGCCCCGAAAAGCAAGGGGTTAAGGGCTTATTATAGGGTTTAGGGTTTAGGGTTTAGGGTTTAGGGTTTAGGGTTTAGGGTTTAGGGTTTAGGGTTTAGGGTTTAGGGTTTAGGGTTTAGGGTTTAGGGTTTAGGGTCTTCCCAAAGCCTCCTAAACCCTCTAACCCCTAGATGAACCCTCGAAGCCCTCTAAACCCTACACGATCCCTCTAAACCCGGCTCTCAAAACCCAATGTCAACCCTCTAACAACGCCTCGCCATCATGTATTAATGCATTCTCTTTTAAATTGCGACAGTGAATAACATTCTGTTGTACGCAGGTTACCATGGTTTGTGTCAGGAAATACACAGGCACTAAACCCTAAACCCTAAACGCTAAACCCTAAACCCTAAACCCCTAAACCCCTAAACCCCTAAACCCCTAAACCCCTAAATCCTACCCGAGGATCCTGTTCTTGATTTTCTTCGCCGGCTCCGTGCCCTCGAAGTCGGGGGCCATGAAGAGGTGGACGTTGAAAATCAAGGCCCCGCCTTGGTGGCCCAACTTTAGGGTTTAGGGTTTAGGGTTTATAGGGTTTAGGGTTTAGGGTTTAGGGTTTAGGGTTTAGGGTTTAGGGTTTAGGGTTTAGGGTTTAGGGTTTAGGGTTTAGGGTTTTAGGATTTTAGGGTTTTAGGGTTTAGGGTTTAGGGTTTAAGCTGGCCATATTGCAACAAGGGCACCCCTTTCTTGGGGGTTGGAGAGTTTATAACGCTAAACCCTGAGCCCTTAGACCCTAAAACCCAAGCCCTAAACCGAGCCTAAATCCTAACCCCAAACCCCAAACCTCAAACCCTGAACCCTAAACCCTAAACCCCAAACCCCAAACAAAAGGGAAAAGGGCACCACTGGGCTACAAAAGCCACTGAGTCGATCTCTCAGCCACCAGGCCAAGAACGTGCCGGAGCCCCAGGTGCCTTTTGTGGCAAGGTGGGTTTAGGGTTTAGGGTTTAGGGTTTAGGGTTTAGGGTTTAGGGTTTAGGGTTTAGGGTCTAGGGTCTAGGGTTTAGGGTCTAGGGTTTAGGGTTCTGTGAAGTGACCCCAGGAACAAGTATATGCTGGGGGGGTTGAATTAATTTTAATTGCAAACTAATCGGAGCCCAGCAACGAAAAAAGTGTTATACTGCTCAAAGTATTGACCGTTCTGAGCGCAGCTGTCCAGTTCACCCCCTTTTTTGAATCTGATGGATGTTTGAGAAACTCCATGCACCAGTGCATCCATTGGCCAGAGCACCCTGCACGATCGATGATAACGTCCATGCTTCCATGCTACCAGCATTCAAGCTGCAGGTGCGGTGACACATCTATGCTCTCAAGATTGGGTGCCCTAAAACAACGATTTCGGCGACGCAGAAATATCGAGTTGCTAGCCCATTTGAAAAAATCAGACCGTCCAAAGATGGGAAACCCTAAAAACACGAATCCCGCATCGCAGAAGCCTCGAGTTTCCAGCTGTTTTAGGTTAAAAATGAGGAGACCAAGCCCGCTACTACGCACTTCTCATGCTGCAAAACAAGCATTTCGTATCGTCAATGTCATGCTTGTCCACTTACAACTCACAAAAGCTGCAGGCAAACGAGCCCGAGACGCTTTGATCCTAGCACGACCGGTTCGTCTCAGAAATAATCAAATAACATAAGGCTGCGCTGGAGTCGAGCCCGGGATACTATCGACGAGGATGAACCTCTCTCCCAGCACCGGCAGCAGGGCGCTGACCAGGTTGGTCAGCTCGTCCTGGAACTCGCTGGCACTCGCGCCTGGTTTCAACTTCTCGGAGTCGATGCTGTCCTCAGTGATGGCCCAGATCTTCACGCGCAGAACCTTGGCCCAGTGCTTCAGCGCTGGCAGCTGCAGCGCGAAAGGAATAAATCGGGGAAGGCCCAGGTACAGCACATGGGCGGATGGAGACGAGTCTGGCGCAATCACATGTACTTTCTTGTGCTCTTTGCAGGCATATATCGGCTGTGGGTAGGAATGCACGTCCACACCGGCGGGTAGTAGAGGCTGTAGCAGCCTCGCGGTCTCGTCCCAAATGTCCTCCCCCTCCAGCTGCCAGGACCACTTGGAGGAGGGGATGAACTCGAGCTTCGATCCGGGCATGAGGTGGTTCAGCCGCTGCATGGATTCCCCAACGACGACCAGCGGCGCCTGGTCGCTGCAGGCCAGCACCACCGGCAAGGAGTCCATGTGCCACTCGCTCTGCGAACTCAAGATTGGGGTCAGGTGGTTGAAGTTCCACGACGGCTGCAGCGCCGACAGCTTCCAGAACTTCTCCGACGCTGAAGACACCGCGGCCGCGTAGGTCTTCTTGGTCGCTTCCACCCCGTCGGCGCCGCCCGTCGGGTACATGAAGTCTGGGAGCACCTTGCAGGATGAAATGCACCCTAAAAATGGGACCGCATGGCCCTATACTACTGTAATCCCTCATCGCGAAAGACCTTTAAAAAAAAAACCTTAAACCCTTCAACCCTTCAACCCTTAAACCCCAAACCCCTAGACCCTAAACCCTAAACCCTAAACCCCAAACCCCAAACCCTAAACCCTCAAACCCTGGGAGCACCTTGAGGATGTTCTCCATCTCACGTCGCTCGAAGAGGTCGCCGAGTTGGGCCATCCTTGAAAACCATAATGAACCCTAACAAGGGTTTAGGGTTCATGTGCCTTCATAGGGTTTAGGGTTTAGGAGTTCTAGTAGTAGAGGGTTTAGGCATGCGGCTTGAGGGTTTAGGGGTATTATGACCCCAGCTTACCTAAACCTTAGACCCTAAACCCTAAACCCTCAACCCTAAACCCTAAGCCCTAAGCCCTAAGCCAGTTTGCGGCTTCATTTGGTCCCCAAGGATCCGAGTCTTAATCTTCCAGGCTGCCTCGGTGTCGTCGAAATCGGGAGCCTGGGCCGGTATCGGGTTTTGGGTTTCGGGTTTAGGGTTTAATTAGGCTTCAGGTTTTAGGGTCTAGGTCCTAGACCCCCCACTAAACCCTAAACCCTAAACCCTAAACCCTAAACCCTAAACCCTAAACCCTAAACCCTAAACCCTAAACCCTAAAAGAGGGGCCTTGAAGAGGTGCGTGTTGATGATCATCGCGCCCTGCAGGCGCTCCTTGAACTTCCACACCAGCGAGGTGCCTCTGGGGAGTTCAGAGAAGGCCATGAAGTTTAGGAGGGATTAGGAGGGTTTAGGAGGGTTTAGTAGGGTTTAGGAGGGTTTAGTAGGGTTTAGTAGGGTTTAGTAGGGTTTGGGAGGGTTTAGGAGGGTTTAGTAGGGTTTAGGAGGGTTTAGTAGGGTTTAGGAGGGTTTAGGAGGGATTAGGACGGTTTAGTAGGGTTTAGGAGGGTTTAGTAGGGTTTTCGTAGGGTTTAGTAGGGTTTAGTAGGGTTTAGGAGGGATTAGGAGGGTTTAGTAGGGTTTAGTAGGGTTTAGTAGGGTTTAGGAGGGATTAGGAGGGTTTAGTAGGGTTTAGGAGGGTTTAGCAGGGTTTAGGTGGGATTAGGAGGGTTTAGTAGGGTTTAGGAGGGTTTAGTAGGGTTTAGTACGGTGTAGGGTTTCGGGTTGCATGATTCCACAATTTCGGGGTTTCAGAGGTTCGGGGATGACGGGCTGCAGGGTTGGGAGTCAGGGTTTCGGCTAGGCATGGGCTCTAAACTCCAAAAAGGGGCCGAAGCTCCCCCTAGCCCTAAACCCTAAACCCTAAACCCTAAACCCTAAATCCTAAACCCTAAACCCTAAGCCCTAAACCCTAAACCTGAAACCCTAAACTCCAAAAAGGAGCCGGGGCCTGGTCCCCAGCTGCTGTCCACGAGCACGAACTTCTCCGGCAGCGAGGGTAGCAAGCCTTCGACGATCAACGCCAGGTCGGACGTGAAGGCCTTCAAGGTTTAGGGTTTAGGGTTTAGGGTTGAGGGTTTAGGGTTTTGGGTTTTGGGTTTAGGGCATGGGCCTTATAACCCTTTTTAAGGGGGGGGGAAGGCTTTAGGGTTGGGGTTTGGGGTTTGGGGCTTGGGGTTTGGGGCTTGGGGTTTAGGGTATGGGCCCCGAATTTGGGTCCTTCGTTATGTAACCTTATGAAGGGTTGCACAGCTTTAACCTGAGGATTTCAGGGTTGAAAGCTTGATGATTTAAGCTTCAGCGCTTTTGTTTTTATTTTTTGGGGGGAGGGGGGGGGGGGGCGGGTTGGGGGTTTGGGGTGTGGGGTTAAGGTAGGGTTTAACGTTAATTACTGTATGCAACCAATTTGAACTTAATACCAAAGATCCTTCACGGCAACCCAGTGAACCGTGAACCCGCTCTCTTGGTGCCCTAAACCCTAAACCCTGAATCCTAAACCCTAAACCCTAAACCCTAAACCCTAAACCGTCGCAGTGCTCCGAAACAAAATGTGCCGGCTGTGTGGCCTAGATTACAGGATGTTCGCCCTTGTAGATAGCAGTCCTTAATAAGGGTTTAGGGTTTAGGGTAGGGTTTCTGGTACTCCCTACTACAATCCCTATTGAGGACTGTTATAGTATTCTTAACCTAGATTTGTTCAACACAGGACACTCTGCACCCAAACCCGTGCAGGCCCACGACCCGTGACAGCCAAACCCTAAACCCTCAACCCAAAAATCTCCCGGTTCGCCTTTGGGTCCTCGTCCTTCATGAGCCCGGGGTCAACGGAATCTTCACAGATGGCCCAGACCTGCAAAGTTTGAGGAGGGTTTAGGGTTTGAGGATTTAAGGGTTGAAAGGCTTTAAGCTTCATGGGCTAGAGCGTCCGTGGTGATTAATGTGGCACCCTCTTTAGTGTGGGGGGCCCCCCCCCCCCCCCCCCCCCCCCCCCCCCCCTCCCCCCCTGAACAGTCGAGGCTGGGATTTTGCCCTCTTTAATGGCCCACGGGATTTTATATGATTTTAATAGGGATGAGTTTAGATAGTTTTAAAAGGGATCCATATGAATTTAAAAGGGATGAGCTTATATGAATTGAAAAGGGATCCGCGCGAATCGAAAAGGGATCCGGGATGTGTTTATATGAATTTAAAAGGAATCCATAGGCTTTTTCCAAAATCGGAGCCTCCGGGCCGGGGCCTTGACATAAAAGCGGGTCCCAAATCAGTGCCATTATTCGGGGCCGAGGGGGGCTCCTGGACCACCCCCTTGTCGGGTTGAACGAAACCAATTTTTCAAATGGTTTCTTAAAAGGAATTAATGGTTTCGGGCCGGTTGGAATGGATGAGGTCGGCCCTTAAAATCACAAGGTCCGGCTTTAAAATCATAAGGCCCGGCTTTAAGCCAAGAGACCAAGGCATCCAAATTCGGAGCCTCCGGGCCGGGGCCTTGACATAAAAGCGGGTCCCAAATCAGTGCCATTATTTGGGGCCGAGGGGGGCTCCTGGACCACCCCCTTGTCGGATTGAACGAAACCAATTTTTCAAATGGTTTCTTAAAGGGAATTAATGGTTTCGGGCCGGTTGGAATGGATGAGGTCGGCCTTTAAAATCACAAGGTCCGGCTTTAAAATCATAAGGCCCGGCTTTAAGCCAAGAGACCAAGGCATCCAAAATCGGAGCCTCCGGGCCGGGGCCTTGACATAAAAGCGGGTCCCAAATCAGTGCCATTATTCGGGGCCGAGGGGGGCTCCTGGACCACCCCCTTGTCGGATTGAACGAAACCAATTTTTCAAATGGTTTCTTAAAGGGAATTAATGGTTTCGGGCCGGTTGGAATGGATGAGGTCGGCCTTTAGAATCACAAGGTCCGGCTTTAAAATCATAAGGCCCGGCTTTAAGCCAAGAGACCAAGGCATCCAAAATCGGAGCCTCCGGGCCGGGGCCTTGACATAAAAGCGGGTCCCAAATCAGTGCCATTATTCGGGGCCGAGGGGGGCTCCTGGACCACCCCCTTGTCGGATTGAACGAAGCCAATTTTTCAAATGGTTTCTTAAAGGGAATTAATGGTTTCGGGCCGGTTGGAATGGATGAGGTCGGCCTTCAAAATCACAAGGTCCGGCTTTAACATCATAAGGCATTGAGGATTAAATGTTTCAACTTAAGTTAAAACAAGCCCCAAACCCTAAAAAAAATCCGGATTTCGGGAACGGTTTGTCTTTAAAGAGGGACTCCCAAACAGTCAGGGTGTCCTGAATAATTTGGCCAGTTTGTCTTTAAAGCGGGGGCCGATACTAAAGCGGGTGCAACATTACATACGTACATGTATGAGAGAGACGGAGGAGAGAATGTCCCCTTCTAGACACCTCTAACAATAGGGCTCCTCATGAAGACCTTAAGCGAGAGTTCCCCCTAAACCCTAAAACCCTAAACTCCAACTCAGAAACCCTAAACCCTAAACCCTAAACCCTAAACCCTAAACCCTAAACCCTAAGTCACCCGTACAGTCCTTGGCAGTAGAATCGAGGGGGGGCAGAGCATTTCTTAGACTCCCAAACCCGATTCAGCTTTAGGCCTTATGTAGGGAACTTGCTTCTCATGATCCTAGGGCTCGAAAAAACCGAAGCTTGAGGGTTTAGGGTTTAGGGCTACGAAACCCTCCTTAACTTAACCCTAAACCCTTAAACCCCTAAACCCCTAAACCCTAAACCCCTAAATCTCACATCATCCCCGCCTTGACCCCCAGCCCCCCGGCCCAACGCTGCAGCGCAGGCAGTTGAAGGGAGAAGGGGATGAATCGCGGGAGGCCGACATAGACGACGTGGCCTGGGTTTAGGGTTCAGGGTTCAGGGTTCAGGGTTCAGGGTTTGGGGTTTAGAGTTTAGGGTTTAGGGCCGGGACCAGGGTGTTCTGGGGTTTATGAGTGTTCAGATTGCCCTGATTACCCTTAACCCCTGAACCCCTGAACCAATAAACCCTAAACCCTCAACGAGGGCCTGGGGTTCAGGGGTTTAGGAATAGGGCTCAACGATTCCGCCTGGACGGAAACTGTGATTTGTTTTCGGGCGGTGCCTACGTTCTACTGCAAGTTCTGCACTACCCTCATCATAGCATCCATAAAATTCAGTATCAAAAAAGACAAACGGAGCTGGGTTGCAAAAATGGGTGCAAATCTTTGCGTCTATGAAACATGAAGCAAGTGGGGGGGGGGGGAGCCTCTTCTGGAAGTGAACACCGGTCCCCAAAAGCACGTCCCCACCACCCAACTCCCCCCGCCCCGCCCCACAACTCGCTCGGTGGCGCTTCGGGTGTGGGGCCTAAGTTCAGGGTTTGGGGTTTTAGGTTTAGGGCTCCTCCGCCCCTGAACCATAAACCCCGCAAGCCCCAGAAACCTTAGAAGCCATAAAATCCAGTGCGTTGGCCTTTGCATTCTGGATGAGGGTGCGGTTTTAGGCTTTAGGGTACCCCCCCCCGAAAGAAAAAACACTGCTTGGGAAAGCCAGTGTCAGAGTGGAGTAAACTCTGGCTCCACCACGTGCACAGTCCGCTCCTGCTCCCGCACCACCACATGGGTGGAGTGAGTGCTCACCTGGACAAGAAGCCCTAATATGCCTTAATCCCTCAACCCCTCAACCCTAAAACCCCACAAGCCCTCTAAACCCGAAACCCTAAACCCTATACACCCCAACCCTCTAAACCCTCAACCCTATAAACCTCCTATATAAACCCTAAACCCTATAAACCCCCAACCCGAAACCCTCAATAGCCTCTAGGCGCCGAATATGATCCTCTTAAACCCACTATACACTCTTGAAGGGTTTAGGGTTGAGGGTCTAAGGTTGAGGCTTTAGGGTGTGCCTGCAACTCTGTCTTCCTACAGTTTAGCAGTAACTACCCCTTAGCGAGTAGGTACCTAAACCCTAAACCCTAAACCCTAAAAAGAGAGAGTCGCAGGTGGGGTTTAAGGGCTCAGCAAGAGGGGCTTGGCTGACTTCTGAACCCCTCCTGAAAGTTTAACTTTTGGGCTCCTTAGTGTAGTTGCTTCCAAAGCCCAAAAGGGTAAAGCTTAAACCCTAAACCCTAAACCCTAAACCCTAAACCCTAAACCCTAAGTTTCCTAAGTGGGGGCAGGCTTTAGACCGCGGAGCCAGGTGTTTTCACGCCCGGAAGCCCTGCGGGAGCTCGAGGGCTGAACCCCCCTGAACGCCCTGAAGCCTCGTTAGGGTTTCGGGTGTAGGGTTTGGGGTTCAGGGTTCAGGGTTCAGGGTTTAGGGTTTGGGGTTTGGGGTTTGGGGTTTGGGGTTTGGGGTTTAGGGTTTAGGGTTTGGGGTCTCGGGTTTGGGGTTTAGGGTTTGGGGTTTGGGGTGAGGGGTTGCGGGTTTGGGGCTCAGGTTTTGGGACCCTAAAGCCATGAGCACCTAGACCATGCACCAGAAGCCGTTGACAGCACTTTGCCTGGAAGCGATCAGACCGGATGCGCTTCTTGCCGTCTTTGCCCTGCAGGGCTACTTGGAAGTTCATGGTACTTATTAACCAATCATAACTGCACTGAAGACCCACTTATAAGCCCCTTAAGTGCCCTGATATGGTCAGAATTGGGTTACAAGTACAGTTGGTGGAGCTCGAAAACTATAAGCACGAACCGGCATGATTGGGTTACTAAGTACAATGAACCTCCAAGTAGAGGGCTGCCACACAACACTAAGACCGCTGGTGAAACCCTAGCAACCCTAAATCCCAAACCAAAAACACGAAAAACTTTGGGTGTTCAGGGCGGTAGAAGGGGCTACTGGAAGGTTCCTACAAGTCCAAGACCAAAAAACCCTAAACCCAAAACCCCAAACCCTACTAGTAACTCTTAAACCTAAGAGCCACCAAGAGCCGTGGAGATTGGGGGGGGGGGGGGATTCGATCTAAATCTAAACCATGGGCCCTTTGGCGATTTGAGGGTTTGGAGGTAGTTTTGGTTTGGGGACTGGGGCTTGGGGTTTAGGAACCCTAGATCCTAAACCCTAAAGGGCCTTCTCCGCCAAGAAGGGATGCTCCTGCTTCTGGAGCTGAATCCAGTCCAGCACGGGCTTGTAAGGCCCTCCTTGCTTGGCTTCTCGGGTCTAGGGTCTAGGGTCTCGGGTCTAGGGTTTAGGGTTTTTGGACCCTAAACTTAGTTGCTGAATTCACAAGCCCCAAAGTGCGTACACTTTCAGATTGAGGTTAAGGATTCGAGAGGCCGGATTGCCGATTTGAGGGGAGCCCCCAATAAAGAACTTGGGCGATCAGCCTAATGGATAAGGCGTCGCCTTACAAATTCACACGCTGCCAGTTCGAATCCCATTAAGAAATTCGTTAAGAAACCGAGGGTACCCTCAAAAGTATGGAGGCTATAATTCCGGAAATTGAGTGGGCTTCATAATTAAGAAACCGAGGGTACCCTCGCCAAAACTTAGAGGTTTCCTATCCAGCGCCGTCATTGTAGGTGATTGTACTATCCCAAAAGGTGTAAAGTGTACTCACTCAGCTACTAAGATTACTAAGTAAACCCTACCCGCCACAACCCCTTCTGCCCTTTGCGATGCCCAAAGTTCACAAAGATACCGCAACCCCTCCCGAACAACCGCATCTCAACCCCAAAAACTCAAAACCTCTGTCAACAATCCGTCAAGCGTTCTAATTCCCTGCAAAAAAGAACTGACAAGCCCTCCAACCCTCTAACCCTATAACCTTAACAACCTCCCACAACCCCATAGTCCTCTATAACCCTGAAATCCTTCAGCCCTCAACCCTAAAATCATACATAACCCCCATATATACCTTAGATGGCCCCATAACCCTAAGGTCCCTGAAAAGGGTCCCTCCTTGAGTCCCTTGATAAAAGCACCCAAACCCCAAACACCTCAAAGGCCTCCATAACCCAAAAAATACCCTGAGCCCTGAACCCTAAGCACCATATATCACTCTGTACACCTAAACCCCAAACACCCCCAAAACCCTAAACCCTGGGATCTTTCCCCTTATACTAACAGTCCCTTTTAACAACTGGATTATAGTACCCCCTACTCTACTCCCGATTAAGGACGGTTAGTATAAGGGGGAACATCCAACCCTAAACCCTAAACCCTAACCCCTAAACCCTAAACCCCAGACCCTAAACCCCAAACCCTAAACCCGAACTCCCAAACCGCAAAATCAGGCAAGCCTCCATTGACCGCTGTTAAGGCCCAGGCCTCCAACCGCTGAAGCACCTCAGCGATTCGGAGGCTTTCTGTGGGTTTAGGGCTTTAGGGTTTTAGGGTTTAGGGTTTAGGGCTTGGGGCTTAACGTTTTAGGTATAGGGTTTAAGGCTTAGGGTTTGGGGTTTAAGGTTTCGGGTTTAGGCATAGGGTTTGGGGTTAAGGGTTTAGGGTACGTACAGGTTAGGGTTTTAGGGTTGAGGGCTTTTTGGGGTTCAGGGTGTAGGGCTTCGGGTTTGCAATCTTAGGGTTGCAGGGTTTTTGGGGTTCTAGGGGTTCTGGGGGGTTATGGGCTTTACAAAGCTATAGGGGTTGCAGGGTTTTAAAGGTTTATAATTCGGGCTGAGGGTTTAGGGTTCAGGGTTTGGGGGGTCAGGAGGTTTAAGGGTGAGGAGCTTGGAGGGCTTGTGGGTGGGTGGGTGGGTGGATGGGTGGATGGGTGGGTGGGTGTCTGGCCTGTGTCTGCGGGTGTGTGTGGCGTGTGGGTGTGTGCGTGTGTGCGTGTGTGCGGGTGTGCGGGTGTCTGGGTGTGGGTGTGAGTCTGCTTGGTTTCGGAAGGGCTGGTAGCGCTTCGAAACGTCAGGGAAAACCCTAAACTCAAACCCCAAACAGGTTCCAGGTAAAGACCTGCCCCACATACCCTAAACCCTCTATTCCCACTCTGCACCTGCAGCCCAGCTCGGTTCTTCTTCTGCAAGTACGCCTGGGCCCCCAAAGACGCCAAAATATATAGGCTTGAGGGTTTAGGGTTTACGGTTTCTACGGTTTAGGGTTTAGGGTCATATTCCTTAAGGTACATTTTTTAATGCCGAGCAAGAATTACGGAATATGCCCTAGCAATCACACGGGGACCCCCATGGAAAGAACTAACCCTAAACTTAAAATACCCAAACCCTAGGTTTCGGGTCTAGGGCTTAGGCATAAAGCCTCTCATTAGGTTTCATGAAACCCGCAAGTTACGCGGTACAGGGATTTAGAGTTTAGGGTGCTCCGGGTGAATGCTAGGAGGCTGAATAGAAGCCGGAAGCCCTATGCCCAAACAGAAGCAATGGGAGAGATTGGGCGGAAGGGGTTTTGGAAACCCTAAACCCTAAACCCTAAACCCTAAACCCCCATAAGATTGCGAGCCTAGAGGCGGCATCCTCACCCAGCTCTTGGCACAGCTGCAGAGTCGTCTCGTCGGCGTAGAGCGGGATGACGTGCAAGGAGGTGTTGCCCAGCTTGTCCCGGAGTCCCTGGCGCGCGCCGTTTTGCAGCAGGAACCTCACGGCCTCCACGTTGCGAAACCGCACCGCGTTGTGGAGGGGCGTGTATCCCCGGCCGTCCGCAATGGTCAGATCTGCCTTGGCTTCCACCAAGTCCTTGCAGTCCGCGATGCTGAGCGATCGCACCGTGAAGGCCAGCGCCAGGGACACCCGACAGCGCATCTCGCCCAGGAGCGAGAAGACCAAGTCCACGTCCTCATTTTGGGACGAGCCGAACCCCCGCAAATAGTTAGGACAGGGTATGCCCCACTTTTTTTTACACCCGCTCAACCCTCATTCGTTTTTTCCCTAGGGGGGGATATACGTTTTCAACATTTCAATATATTTTTCCTAATTTTTGACATCCTACCCTCAACCATTCCTAACAAAAAATCTCAATAAAAAATCAATAATTTTATGATAAAAAATATTAAAAATTTCATCATAAAATTTTCCAAAATTTTCATAAAAATAATTTTCCATTTTTTTCATCATAAAAATCTTCCAAAAATATTTGTTGAAAAATTGCATTTTATAAATTATCTTTGTTAAAAATCTTTGTAAAGATTTTAAGAATTATTATTTTCATATAAATCTATCAATTCCTTTTGTAGCTCAATTTGTCTATCTAAATATTTCATTTCCTTATCTAAATGTTCCTGTTCTTCTTTTTCTATAACGCATTTTTGTTTTATTTCTTCGATTTTGCTTATCCTACTTTCTTTGATGATTTCTAGCTTTTCTAATTCGTGCTTTGCTTGTTTGTAAAGAATTTCAAACAATTCATCTTGAACCGATTTTTTCATCTATATATATAATACTATATATTTTAGTTTTTAAAACTTTTAAAACTTTTTATTGTATATCGTATTGCAGGCAGTGCGTCATGTGCATTCTGTCATGATCGGTTGTGCAGTGCGAGAATATATTTTCCGTCGTAGCATTTATGCTTCAAACTTTTCAGAGTGTTTCAATTCATAGATTGGTCGCCATGACTGAAAACATCCGGATCGATGTTGAGTATCACAGCGTTCCAGATGGTGGAGCGACCATGAGTTATCAAACCCTTTCGTGGGCGGACGCGTCAGTGATGTCGATCAACCAAATCTTGGCGCCCTTTACAGTTGATGAGATCGATGAAATCGTCATCAATGAGACCCGTATCATCCAGCACGTGGATTTCGATGGCAGACGAACCCTTGTCCGAGAACTGGCATTGATCCCAATAAACTATGATGTTCATATCTACCTCGACGTTTATATGGCAGATGAGCGGAACGTTGAAGAAGGATATCCTTCTGACATTGATGAAGGAGACATCGGAGAAATTGATCGCGGATATGATTCTACATCGTGCGGGACTTCAACGCCAGACGATGACGACGATGACGACGACGACGACTAGGACGATCAGTTCTTTACCATCTGATGAGCGCTTTGTATAGGCACCTTCGCTAGTGCATCAATTTTGGCTACGCTGTGTTTTGCTAATCTAAACGAATTTTAACTTGAAGCAGACGAGTGCATGAAATGCTTTTGTTCCTCGTCAGTTTTGATAAGCGACCAAAGTGTTGCGAATGATCCGCATTATAGCAGACATAGCAGTGTAGCTACACACCAGTCGAGCCACCTGTGAAAGCTAAAAATAATGCACTTTACAAGGCGTATTCTGTGAGCATTGCATGTTGGGAGCGTTTAGTTGAGGCATCTGTTTTTCAATGTAGCGTTTTTGCTCCAAACTTTTTAGAGTGTTTCAACTCTTTTCAATTCGCCAAGACCCGTCGCTACTCGTATTGCATTATATCAAGTTTTTTTTAGTAGTTATGATTTTATACGTGGATAAGTTTTTTTTATATGTTCTTTTTTTTTTGGTATTGAGGCTATGCAGATCTTCGTGAAGACCATGACGGGCGAGACCATCGCTATGGATGTGGAAGCATCAGACACCATCGACAACGTGAAGACCAAGATCGAGGAAAAATATGGCATCCACCGCGACGTTCAGACGTGGAAGGTATCCTGTCTTAAAATTGTAAGTATTTTTCTTTGTTGAAAAATTTAAATCCGAGGTTCAATCTGATACTATGGATGCATCTGGTGATTTATTGGACGTCCTGCTTCGCAACGACAGCGAGGGCGAGACTGATATGGAGGAGGAGGGTAATGGCGGTGGAGAAGCTACGTGGGTTTATGATAACCATGGTAATAAAGTCCCCCTAATGGTTGGTGGTGCGCCTAAAAAACGTAAGTCGGTTGATGACGAGGGTTTTAAACTTACAGCGGGGTATTCTTCCAAGGTTCAGCGGGTTCGGTTTATCGATGAGGAGATAAGGGGCAAGAAATATCGTATGGAGAGTTCTTCGGTTGAGTGTTCTGTTTTTGATGAGGCTGTTAAGAAGGTTAAAGAATTGGTTGATAAGTCCAAGGACAACCCGAAAGAATGCATCCGCGAGTTGTTTAAAAATGTATCCAACAAAGACTTAACGAAATCTATTCCTACCCTAGCTGGACATAACAAGGGCGAACTCCGAATTAAACAACTCGTGGATCTTACGATGCCTTATATTGATAGTAATTTAGGTGAAGTTCTTTTGTTGAAAGACTGTTGCGATCGTTTGGTTCGTCGTTCTATGGAAGCCGTTATTGTTAATCTTTTTGGAGTAGATGATGGTTCTATTAGTTGGGAAAAGTTATATGATACTATGACAAAAGAGCCTAAAACTAGAAAGAAGCGAGGGATGAAGCGAAGTAATAGTTTGCCCAGTCGAGCACCCCCTAAAAACGATGACGATGACGACGACGACGACGATGACGACGACGATGACGATGACGGAGAAGAAGAAGATTGTGAAGGACACGATGGTGACATCGTCATGCCCGATGCGAATGGTATCGTGCCATACGTGAATGGTGGTTCCTTATGCACACAAATGCCTTATCTGAATACCGTTTCCATATCTACGCCGAAAAAAGGGCGAGGACGCCCTAAAAAATCAGGATGAGGTGGGGCGTTTTAAAAATACTTTTTGAATCTAGTAAGAAATTAATATAGTAATTGTTTTGTTCTTTTTATTTTACCCTGAAAGGTGATCGTCTTCGTTGCTGGGGCGACCTGCGATCACTGTATCATCTGGTGGGCGACATTCCTTTTGAAGTCTTCTTGAAGGTGGGTGGGTAAAAATAAGTAATAGTTTAGTGTATTTTATTTCCCTGTCGAGGACTATGGATAATGACACAGACCATTGGCTACACAATGGAGGACTGAATGAAGAAATCAATCATTTTTGTATTCTTTTTGTTTAGTAAGTAGTTATAATAATATAATTTGTTTTTCCACTAAATCCTTGCAGGAGGGGTTCTTCTGCGTGGCGTCGGCACATGTCACAGCGATGCCCGACAGTGGGGTGAAAAACATGAAGACCGTCAATACTTGGGTGACTGGAATAATGAAAATATTTCAATAAAGAATAATAGTTTATTGAAATATTTTGGAGCTTATATTATTTTCTGAATATTTCTTTTCTATACAAATCTTTGAGTTCTTTCAGATATTGTTTTTTCATTTCTTTATCTCCCGCTGACCTGATCCAATTGTTATATATACTTTTATAGCTTCTGTAAGTTTTAGTATTTATAGTATTTCTGTTGTTAGCTTCTTCGAATACTTCTCTCAATTTTTGAATACCTATTTTGCTTGGAATGATTAATGTAGGTGATGCCATATCCTGCTCTTCTGTTGTTCCTTCCTTCAAATTTGTTTTTCTTGTTAAACGGGTTCGTGGGCGTTCATTTTGTGGTGGTTGCGGTGGTTGTGGAGGTGGCGCGTTTCCGCTTGAACTTGACGAACCGCCTTCTTGAAAATTTGGCTGTGGTGGTGGCGGTGTTTTCGGTGATGGTCTGGGTCTTGCTTTTGTTCTCGGCTCTGTTGGTCGCTGTGGTATTGGACGTGGTATTGGTGGTAATTCTGCTAGCGTAGGTTGGCTTGATGATGCAATCGGTAAAGGTTGTTGTGTAGCACCGACGTTAGGTTGATGTGGTTGTAAAACTATTGAGGGTTGTAAATATTCCATGTTTGGAATTGGCATTGGGTCATAAGTTGTAAATTGACCCGCGCGAGGATCTCCTGAAAAGTCTAATAGCTGTCTGGGGGGCGGGTTTATTCTCCTCATTAATGTCTCGCCTAATGCTTGCGCGGCTTCCTGTGTAAGTCCAGCAAACGCGGCAGAAGTAAAATCCATACCGGAAATCATATTGCCCGCAACATTGCCCCCTACTCGTAATGCCCCGCTTCCTAAACTTAATGCCCCGCTTCCTAAACTTAATGCCCCGCTTCCTAAACTCCGAAGAATGCCCGAACCGCCTTCTTCCTCTCTTTCTAACTGTTGTTGGTGCGCTTGATTGATTGCTTGTTGGTTGCCTTGATGTGCGGTTGCTACGTTTCCTAATGTTTCATCGATTTGAAACAATTGTTGCTCGGGGGGTGTGCCGAATTCTTCAATAAAAGACATATTGTCGGTGTCCGTTGCAATACGAAACATTTCTGGCGATCTGGGTTGTTCTGGTTCTGGGCGGTCGTGCTCTGTAAATAATGCTCTATGTGTAAAATTGTTATCGCTAGCGTATTCGCGTAGCATATGATCCCTAACAATTCTTTCGGCAATTTGTTTTTCTTGAACTTTTAATTTGTCCAAATGATCTTTTCCATCAAAACGAGTTCCTTTGTTGCTTTGTTTATAAAATACAGCATCTCTATTCGGAAAGGGTTTCAACGCTTCTTCGTCGTCATTAACCAGCTCCAAAATATCTTCATATCTCGATCTTCTGTGAAATTGTATTCCAGCATTTTTAACTACCATTCTTTTTTATATATTGTTTTAGAAAATTGTTTCACTTAATTCGCTTAATGTGTCATACCTTTTTTTGAGATGTTCCAGAGAAGTCTCGGGTATTCTAGGATTATGCATTTCCCCTTTCAATCTTGACATCTCACTTTCATACTTTGCTTTCATCTGACCCTCTAACAATCTACGTTTAAACGCCAGATTCTTTTCTTTTGCCTCTCTCGCTTCCAGTTGCTTTTTCAAATTCAGTAAATAATCAATATTTTGTTGCCTATACACCAGATCTTCGGGTGAATTCACGACGGGATTATCTAATGATTTTTTCTTATGCATTCTTTTGTTTTTCTGAAATTTGAACCTATTATATAGAACCATTTGTATATATTTTTATTTAGATTTTTTACTTCTTGATTGAAACATTGCTTTACACATATTTTCAGATTTTTCCTGTCTTCTTCTCAAAATTTCGGCGTTCATTGATTTCATTTGTAATTGCAATAATTGTTGTTGCGTTAAATTTGCATAAGGATTTGAAAATTGTTGCGGTTGCACTGGCGGAATTGCTTTTGTAACAGGCGGTTGTTGTTCTTGATATTGTGGCGGTGCCACTGAATTATTTTCATTATGTTCCGGTGCGAGAGGTTCAACGTTTATTTTTGCTTTGGTTCTAGGTGCTTGTCTTTTTACTGGTTTATCAATAATATTACTTGGTTTCTTTTCGCATTTTTCAGGATGGGTATATCTCAACGTTTTTACAGTCATCGTTTTTTTACAGTCCCTACATTCAGCAGGTTCTTTTACAACGTCGCGAATTTTAACTCGTTTAGCTTCTTCCTTTTCCGGTTCAGGCATTGGTGCTTCGGTTTCAGGTTGCGCTTCGGTTGCTTCATTTTCAGGTTCATCATTGACTGCTACAATTTCCGAGCTTTGATCTGTCATATATATATATTGTTCTATATATTTTCTATTACGTTTCATGTAGCATCGCTATTATGAAAGAGGAGGCTAAAACTGAGATCGACGCCGTTGAAGTCGATAAGGTTGCCCGTTTCATCAGTTATTCTAAAAGTTAGCCGTCTTATTGAACGACGTGAGACATTGACATAATCGTAATCTGTAACGCCGTAGGGATCATTTATAATACCTGCGAAGGAAGCATTGACAGGAACTTTTTTTACGATCGCGTTTGAAAAAGACGAAGGACTATGAAAATTATTATTTGACAGTTCCGGACACGATATGTATAGGTCTTGGTGATGGAGAAGCTTAATAAAGCCGGTTGTCCATGGAGCGGATGAAGTGAAACTA